ATGTGACCACAAAACCAGTCATAAGTAGCACGGGTATATTTGTAGCAATAGCCAACAATACATTGTATGGGTCAAAATTACCGATTTTTCTTTCATGCCAAAAATCTTAAGAATATTAAGAAAAGATCATGTTCCATGAAGGTATTTTGTAAATATCCTACCGTAAATATATCAAAACGTAATTTTTGATAAGTAATATGCATTGCTAAGAACTTCATTTGGACAACTTTAAAGGCGATTTTCTCAATATTTTCAGATTTTCAAATAGTTGTATCTCGGCCAAATATTGTCCTGTCCTAACAAACCATACATCAACGGAAAGTTTATTTATTCAGCTTTCAGATGACATATAATTCTAAATTTCAAAAAAATTACCCATATGACTGGTTTTGTGGTCCAGGGTCAAATATATTTATGTGTGTGTTTGTATACATAAACATACACACACCAACTAACACTTCCATGTATTAGCCAAATGTTACAAGCAATAACATACAACAGCAGAATTACATATATAAAGGAAATATAATGAAAAGAAAAACAAAAACAAACTTGCTTACCGCCACCACCTCTACCTCCTCGAAATCCTCCTCTTCCACCCCGGTCTCCTCCTCCTCCTCTTCCTCCAAAGCCTCCTCCTCTTCCTCCAAAGCCGCCTCCTCTTCCTCCAAAGCCTCCTCCTCTTCCTCCAAAGCCTCCTCGGCCACCTCCTCTTGGGCTGAATTCTGTCAAAAGGAGTCAAATATATTAATTTACTGAATGGATCACATTAAGACTTTATGGCAAAAAGTATACTGTAATCAAATATCACACCATTAAATGGCTTCAAACTGTAGTCAGCTTTAACTAACACCTAATATTAGAAAAGCCTTTAGTTATGACTGTTCTCACAAAAAATGCCATTAGAGACCATATTAATTAGAACCAAGGATACCAACAGATCCCTGGTGTTAAAATATCCTCAACCACTAGACTCCACAACTAACTGTATACAAAGTTAAAATCCATTCACTGGTAACTTTAGTTTGTGTGTGTAATATGTTCTTGTTACAGGTTGTCGACTAAACCAAAACTATTCGTTTTTACTTGGTTTTCCACATGAACATGGTCTGTCAGACAAGGTAATTTCCTAAACCCCTGTGGTCCTCAACAATGTGTGGAAACTCGACTATGAAAACAATCCTGTGCACAATGTCCAGACAAAATCAAATGAAAAAAAAAAACAACTTAGTAAACTAGTCTGATTTTAGAAACAAAAGCGTATCTAGTGAAAAGCCATGTGGAGCTTCCGCACCGCGTGCGCAGCATGGCTCGGTTGCTCAAACGCGCAATGTTATGCACCGCAAGAAATATTATAGCCTAAATTAAAACAACATTTTCATAATATGTTTATATGGAACACAGTATGACCACACTAATATGTTTAGAAATATAAATAAAATAACAAACAATGTCATTACATTTCAGAGACAGGGCGTTTCGTGCACTAAAACTTTAAGCGCGTGGCTAACTTGGCCAGCATGCTTACACGCGAGCAAAACCAACACTTCTAAACACTAATATTTTATCGCCCGACAATGAAAACAACCATATGTGTATAAAAAAACTATTATTAACTTACCTGGTTTCATTTTACTTTATTATGGATAGATAATCCTGTTTTAATTATACAAACAGCTGCCGCTGCTTTTGCTCCAGACTGTTCTGCACTAATCAGGTGGCCACATGTGTGCGTCGAACGTCTTTTCCCATAATGCACCTCCAAAAAACGTGGCTCTTGCTCCTTTATTCCGCCATCTAGTGGGAGACTTCGCAACTACAATAAAATCATGCAACTTCGGCATTCAAGTGATTGGCAGTGTTTCAAGGAATACTATTTTATTACAACGTATGCAATACTACACATACACAGTAAGATTTTTCATGTTTTTTAAAGAAGTCTCTATTGCTCACCAAGCCTGCATTTATTTGATCCAAAGTACAGCAAAAACAGTAAAATTGTGAAATATTTTTACTAGGCTATATAAATTAGCTGTTTTCTAGTTGAATATATTTTAAAATGTAATTTATTCCTGTGATTTCAAAGAATTTTTTGCATCATTAGGCTACTACAGTCACATTTCCTTCAGAAATCATTCTAATATTCTGATTTGCTGCTCAAAAAACATTTACTGTTATTATTACGTTGAAAACAGCTGAGTAGAATTTTTTTCAGGTTTCTTTGATGAATAGAAAGTTCAGGAACAGCATTTTTCTGAAATAGAAATCTGCTGTAACTTTGTAAATGTCTTTATCATCACGTTTGGTCAATTTAAAGCATCCTTGCATAAAAGAATTAATTTCTATAAAAACCTGACTCCAAGCTTTTGAATGGTATAGTGAGTAATGTTACAAAAGTTTTAGAGTCAGAAAGTCTGAAGAGAATTCTTTAAAAAACATTAAGAACTTTTGACTGGTAGTGTATGTTTTATACATATTACAACTGAAATAATACCATGTTTTGGCCAGACAAATAGAACAAGTCAGCTAGGTCTCCACAGACTTTAAACCAAAACTCAAAGGACTCGGGCCTAATTAACAAGGAATCACTTTATAAAGAGGGAAGATAGGAAAGAAATACAATAAAGGCAATGGTGGTGACTATAACTTCATGCTGAATTCTGCAGTTAAATTGGCGACAAAAACATTTGTTTAAGGTTAAACCTGTGCAGCTGCTTATTAGCTAATTTTTCAGGAAAAAGTTCTTGTTTCCTGAGTTTCTGCAGCAAGGTCACTGGGAAATTTCGTTGAGGGAGGAAATATGTAGACGAATGTACTTTGCATTATTCACTATTCCTTAAAAATTAAGTTCTAGTAGTTTAGAGGCCATGGAGAGCAGTTAATCTCACTCTTAAAAACTTCTTTGTGTAAGTAACTGGAAGTAATAGGGGATGTGATTAGAAAACATTGTTTATACTCTGCCATGCATTAAACAATGAGCCCAACAGGACTTGCTTTAATTGCTTATACCATTGCATATGATAATATTAGGTTTAACAGTTGACAAAATACATTGTAGACAGAGCTGGATTAAAGGCAGGGTATGGGATTTTTCAAAAACACTTAGAAAACTGATTCTGGCCGAATAGCAAAACAAACTTGTAGCCAATCAGCAATAAGGGGCGTGTCTACTCGTGATGTGGAGGAGAGAGCTTTCAGTGCATGGGACGGACATTAGCCGAGCCGAGCGACAGAAAGATAGAGATGGCGGATAAAAAACAAAAGAAGAAAACGTCTGCGGAACGATAAGGCAAGAAGTAGGATCCGTGTATATATCGGATCAGCTTTCCAGCGTTTGAGAGAACTCAAGGAGCGGAGGCCTGCGATCGGACGCCGAGGTTGCTTTGTTTCTGCTCGATAGGTGAGTAACACCGTGTCTACAACAACTAAAGTCTGCCTACACTGGACGCGATCAAACGACCGTTGAAAACCATTTGAAATGTGTGTCAGCACGTCATAAATAGAACCCGGCAGCAGTTTTCTGTCGGGGATTTGTTGCGCCGCGCCGCTCACGTCCGTAGACACGGTGTAACATTGGTTTTGCTTTGTTTCACAGAACTAATCGTTGCCTGGGTTGCGTACGTATATGTGGGGCGGAGCTATCACAATGGGCAAGACCCTTTTGTGGTAGGGGCGTGTTTGTTTTGGTGATTTCAAATATCAACATTGGCTACCAGAAATCACTTACTCTGCCTTTAAGACACAACCCGTTTTAAATCGTTTTTGCAGGGGGTTGTAGATGTTGTTTCACATTGTAATTCTTATTTCATATTCTCATAGAAACTGAGTGTCTGAGAAGGATAATCTTTTATTTTAATCACTTTATTGTAAAATAAAACAGAAACATTTGATTAAATCTGGTGTTTAAAAAAAACTTACTGAACAAAAACAAACAAAAAACGAAAGAAGAGCTATAAATAACAGTGAGGGTGTTTCTCAAGCAGAAATATTAATGATAGACAGAAGATATTGAATATGATTCAGTTAACCAAATAGCCTAGTATAGCAACAGTACATTTCATACATTTCAAATAAAATGAACAAGAAACAATTACATTGTGCGTTCTGTTTGTTGGGTGTTAATATCCAACTTTTAGTGTTTGTGTTAGTTACATATCTGTCATTCGAAGAAATTAAATAATTATTTCCCACAAGTAACCCTTTGGCAAAACTCACTCACTCCGTCTGGTCGTTTGTGAGGTCCGCTAACAGCAGAGGTCGCTGTTTGCTAACACAGAAAATCCACTCGTTTCAGAAATTATATTCTATGCCGTTTTCTATATAGTTTCAGACATGATGTGCAATTTTAAGCATATTCTATGCATATTCAACACACCCTTTATAGGGAATGCAATGTCCTTCATTAATGAAAAGAAAAACGTGTGTTTGTTTTTTTTAACCAGCAGTTTCACACAGAAAATGCTAGGGAAGCTTGTTTCTGCCATGAGATTAAAAAATGGAAAATAAATAAATACAGGAACTTGCAGCTTTTATCTCACAATTCAGACTGCTTTTCTTGGTATTCTTTGGAAAAATAGTCATAATTGTGAGATATAAATTCAAAAATCTGACCTTTTTTCCCCTCGCAATTCAGAGTTTACATCTCACAATTCTGGTTTTTTTTTCAACCATGAAATTTCAAATATAAAATGTAATTGCAACTTTTAATCGCACTAATTACATCTTGCAATTCATACCTTTTTCTTGCCATTCCAGTTAACACCTCAATTCTTTTTTTCTCAGAATTATGAATTTATATCTCTCAGTTTACAGTTTATATTCGAATTGTGAGAAAAAAGTTAGAATTAGTTAACAATTACCTTTTTAAATCTTTTTTATCTCATGGTAGAAACAAGCTTCCATACATTTTTTTGTTGTTCACGGAATAAAAATATAGTTAATTGCGACTTTTTTGTTAATTACTTATTTTTCCTCAGAATCTCACAATTCAGACCTTATACCTCACAATTCTGACTTTTTTTCCTCAGAATTGCAAGAGAAAAAGTCAGTTGTAAGATAAAGTCGCAATTCCCCCTTTTTTTGTTATCCTGTGGCAGAAACAAGCTTTCATAAAATGCTGTAGTGTATAGCTATAAGCTTAATCTTAAATCTCAATCAACTGGATTCAGAAATACTTATAAACCTCAAAAGCAATAATGCAAGCTCAGTAGCGGGTTAAGCAATCACAGTACAAAGCTGCGAATATATACATCTTATTTAAATAAATTCAAGCTGAACGAGGTTTTTTAAGCATTTTTGCACCTAAAGTTTAAAAACATTACCATTATGCACGTTGTTTTATTCTTGAAAACAGTTAATAACAGTACCAGTGTGGGGTCAATGACATAATGTAGACCTATAGATTTGTAACTATTCCTCAGTTTATATGGCGTTTATGCGGCTGAAGTGAGTTTTTGTATCTCCGTATTTCCATCTGCCACACAGGGGCAGCAAAAGACTGGAGATTGCAATGCATGAACTCATTCTTGCACACACTCCATACTGTTCACATCACCATTGCTAACAGTCTCTTCTGCTTCTTCTTCTTCTGCCTTGGTCTTCTCCTCAGGCATCTCCTCTGGGCTTGGGGGCTCTCCCAGGGTTGCTGGAGGAGAAATAGGGGGCAAAGGAATAGCTTCCCCTTTCTTTGCCAGTTCTGCAAGCTCCCGAGCGGAGCAGGAAGGGGTTGGTGTGGGGTAGGTGTGGTGGAAAGTGTCATAATCCACCTCGTAAAATCCCTCCTCCAGCGAGAGCACAGGGGTGAAACGTTCTCCCCAAAGCACCTCTGAGTTCAGGTATGAGCTGCGGGCTTGACATGTCATTCCTGCGGGAAAAGACAGAGGAAAACGGTTGTGAGCACAGAAAAGTCAACAAAAATAGCAGTAAAAAGAGAGGAGGCTGATTCCAATTCCAAATGACTATGGTGTGGACAATCATGAATAGTTTATGCATGACACAAAAAATTAGAGACATGAAGAAGCGAGACTCTTGATGAATTAAATCCAAAGTAGGACAAAGCAAAATTTGGAAAGTTCATTATTTAGAGCAATACTTGGTCCCAAAACAAATTGAGACACTTAAGGCATAAGCCTACTTATAAATGTATGTATAATGTATAAATAGCTTTGCATTAGATTTAAAAACGGATTAATTTCAAACAGCAACTGCTTGCGACATATTTCTTTAACATTTGATATAATATAGGAAATAATAGAAATATATAAATGTTAGGTAAATATTAGATCTTATTAGATATAGATTTTTTCATCATCTGTTATCTAATGCAATGACATGTATACAGTCATGGCCAAAAGTTTTGGCAGTGACATACATTTTGTGTTTTGCAAAGTTTGCTGCTTCAGTATCTGTAGATTATTTTTCCACGTTTCTATGGTATTCTGAAAAACAATGATAAGCATATAAGTTTTAAAGGCTTTTATTGGCAAAAAATATATATTGAGTCAATATTTACAGTGTTGACCCTTGTTCTTCATAACATCTGCAATTCGCTCTGGCATGCTGGATATTAGCTTCTGTGCCAAATCCTGATTTATGGCGATCCATTCTTGCCTTAGTTCTCGGAGTTGATCACAATTTGTGGGCTTCT